CAAATGCCAGGAGTATGGAAAACTACCAAGAAGAACTGGAAATTTTAATTCAGGAGGTTAAGTATGATTTGATAGAAATAAATGAAACCTGTGGGATGACATCCATGACCGGAATACAGCAATTGAGGGATATAAAAGAAGACTTAAGGGTGATATGATAGGACTTTTCAAATATTTGAAAGGCTGTCATACAGAGGAGGGGCAGGATCTGTTCTTGATCATCCCAGAGTGCAGAACATGGAGCAATGGGTTCAAGTTAAAGGAAGCCATATTTTGGTTGAATATCAGGAAAAACTTCCTAACTGTTAGAGCAGTATGAAGTGGAACCAGTTACTTTGGGAGTTGGTGAGTGCTCCAACATTGGAGGCATTCAAGAAAAATTTAGATAATCACCAGGCAGATTATCTAAGATTATTGAACGTGATGGCCTTGTAGGCCCCTTCCAACTTCACTGTTCTATGATTCTATGGTAGTTTAACAGAAGTATTAAAAGAAAGAAATCGCTGAGGCTAGAAAAAAGTGGGAGCTTTTGCATAACTGGATAAGAGATGAGAACATGAATGGGATGAAATTATGAGAAAGAAAATATAAGATATAGTTTTAGATTTTAAATATAGAAAAAATGGTAAAATAAATGTGAAGTAAGCTTAGTAAGAAAACATATTCATAAATGTAATAATGATTTATACTGTTCTCTATCACATTCTGTATTTTTTATTTACCCCAATCATTTTCGTTTAGTCGTGTCCGACTCTTCGTGATCCCATGGACCAGAGCATGCCAGGCCCTCCTGTCTTCCACTGCCTCCCGGAGTTGTGTCAAATTCATGTTGAAGAAAGAAAGAAAGAAAGAAAGAAAGAAAGAAAGAAAGAAAGAAAGAAAGAAAGAAAGAAAGAAAGAAAGAAAGAAAGAAAGAAAGAAAGAAAGAAAGAAAGAGAAAGAAAGAAAGAGGTATGAATCCATCTCTTCCCTGGCCTTCTTTTTCCCCCTCAGGGCATTAGGCCAGGAAAGGAGGGGGGAGAATTAACCTACACATTCCCTAGAGCTGCCACTGGGTGTAATTAATACTGTTAGCATCACTGCATCAGTGTGATTTCACCACTAGTTTACTATTACAAAGTTCTTAATATATACTAATTTTTGTCTTATTGTTTTATTTTCCTTTTCTTCAGAATACAAATAGTATAAATTATAAATTGTCTCTCTAAAATGTATACTCACAAATCAAGAGCCCAGAAAGGGAAAAATAAGAAAGAAGAAGAAAATGAAAAAAGGGGTCAACGAACACTCTTTCAATTTGGAATAAGTGTGGCCTCAATTTTTTTTCCAGTGAACTCACCTACAGAATTGGAGTAAGAAGAAACTGTTGGAACCCTAATCCCCAAACAAGGAGAAGTTGATTTGGGTAACCACGCACAGTATTTTGATGAAGGGGCAGTTGCAGATGCAGAAAATGAAAAACAGAAAGAACAGACAAACAGACACATGTGGGACTAAACTTGGAAGCATCAATCAATACTCAAATGGAACAAACTTTTACAGAAAGAACAGACAAACAGACACATGTGGAACTAAACTTGGAAATGGAACAAACTTTTAAAGCACATTGTCGATGTTGTACTCTTCTTGGGGAAACGTGGTCTAGCATTTACTGGTTCATTCCATCAAATTGTTGATTCAAACAATGGAAACATTTTAGGACTCACTGAATTCTCTCCTGCATCCTTCAGGAACATATGCCGCCTAGAGTGGTCACAAGACCAGATAGACAGGGTATAAAATAAATAAATAAATGAATGAATATGCTAAATTAGAGGAGTCACAGAAAAGGAGTGAGTGGCTTCAAGTTCATTATCTGTCCCCAGCCTTCAAGAAAAAATTCTCAAGTTATTGTAGCAAATGAATATGCTAAATTAGAGGAGTCACAGAAAAGGAGTGAGTGGCTTCAAGTTCATTATCTGCCCCCAGCCTTCAAGAAAAAATTCTCAAGTTTGCAGATTGTAGCAACAAAATAGGGGAGGAAATTGCTCAGTAGATAACTGATACAGTACATTGAAAGAACATGCTATTCCTCTCAGTGATTGTACAGCACAAGCCTATGATAATGAGGCAAATGTGGCCGGAAAATACAAAGGCGCACAAGCAAAAATACTAGAACAATGCTCAAGTACCTTGAATCAAACATCATTAAAACACGTAATTTTCTTGCTGTGATTCAATTTTTTTTCACAAAAAAAGAAAAAGGAAAGGAAAGGGCCAGGAAAGCTATTTTTAAAAAGTAAATAGTAAGTTTATCTACCCTTTTAAGAACTAATACTTATATCTTCTGATGATCTGGTCTGCATTGCAATATAAAAAGAAGTTTCAATGTGAATTCTTTTTTTGTTATCTTATTGTAGCATAAACAAAGATGTTCAAATGAAATGTGTTTCCTCGTCTCTGATTCTCATCTATATTATTTATATTTATCATGGAGGGATAAATTCTGAGGGAGTATAAGAGCATTAGGCCTTACATGCAGAAAAGGGAAGGGACCCAAAAGAAACTTTGTACCCCCTCATAAAATTCCTCTCAGAGGCCCTGTCTACCTCAGTAAATTTATATTCTGTTCTTCTCTACCTGTTCCTCTTTCCCTCTAGGTAGCACCCAGCCCATATCTCACAATCTCTAGAAAATACAATAAAACTTGTCTTTATCTGGAAGCCCTGTAAGAAGCATAATTATTTCCATGCCCAGTTTGTTAAAGCAAAAACAAAGGCATGCATGGCACTTTGCATACTAATACTTTTATTACAGTACTAATAATAAAATACTGTGCTTGCCATTAATATTTTTGGTATGCACCGTTTGCAGGCAACTTGGTGAAACATCTTTTGGGCTGCTACTAACAGGCTAGGCTTCCCTAAACTTGAAAAATTTATCTAGGAATTGGGATTCTTTAGGAAACTTGACACATAAATGTAGGGCTTTGTCAGTGTCAAACTGTCAGGGGCATCACTCCTTAGCTAATCCTACTGAAAGGCAACAGCAGGCTTGTTTCTTACAAACAATGTGACAGGAGAGGGACCAAACATTTTGCTTCTACAAGTGTTTAAGACTAACTAGAAACATTTTGCAGATATAATCCCACCCTTCCTTACATTAGCTGGCAGGCTAATTAACTATGTAAAGACACACTATTTGAATAATAAATTATAAAGAACTGTTGAAATGCTGTAAGAATGCAACTCACCAGAAGTGAAGGACAACTCAGATATTTATTTCCCAAACTTTTGTACAAACAGAAATGTTTTAAACTTATATCTGAAAGACAAGATTGTGTGAGAATGTTTCTTGCAGAGACTGATGTGGGACTGGAAGGTGTATGAGGTAGGAAAACTGCCCTTGTCTGCCCTGACCTACTCTCTAATCCAGTGGTTCATAACCTTTGTTACTCGGATGTTTTTGAACTGCAACTCCCAGAAGCCCCAGCCAGCACAGTTGGTGGTGAAGGCTTCTGGGAGTTGCAGTCCAAAACTCCTGAGTAACCCAAGGTTAAGAACCAGTGCATCCTTCAACAATGGGGGTAAGGTGGAAAACATAGGGGGATTACATCCCTTTGTTTTACAATTAGGAAATGAGATTTCATCATGATTGTTTATTTCACCTGTGTGTCTCAGGTCACATGTAGTCAGAGAATTCTGCCAACTTTTACAAGAAACTTGTGTAAGCTGTACGTAAGGGGTGATGCATTTTTAATGGAGAACCTAAATGGAGAAATTGCCAATATAACCCAATGAAAAGTAGATGGCACCAGTAGCTCATGGACAGCTGTGGAACAGAAGCACACAGCAACCTCCTGATTTGTCTCTTCTGCTCAGATTAGGAAGTAGTTTTGAAGAGCTGAAGAATGACCTCTAGAATCCCCAATGAAGGAGTAGTAAAAATGTCTTTGATGGCTTCTGGTGTGTAAAGGTGGAGCAGGGCCAAAAGGCCCTGTTACCACAATGTCCAGATGACTTTCAATCGAACAAAAGATCTGGAGCAAAAAGGGAAAGATAGAGTGAAAAAGGGAAAAGAGGAAAGAGGAACTAATTGTAAATGATTTACTAAATTATAAACCCACAAACAAGACCATAATTCATCTAAGATTACATTCCACAAATTACAGTCCGCAATATATTCCCCAAATTACCGTCCATAACACCTTTACTCGCCAGAAGATTTTAAAAGAATGCACTTTCCTCACTATACCTCTTAGGCAATCCCACAACATATGATTTACTGTCTGTTGGACTCCACAGTTATCAGGCAAATCAGAATCAATGTCTTTGACTTACCTTGTAGGTCTGTTTATATATTCAGCGGAATCAAGTGGTAAAGCATCTCCTGAACTGGACTGTTTCAGCCTGGATGTTCCTAAGAACATTTAACTCACTGCAATTGTGCCGAGTTTATCTCCCTAGAATATTATTTCTCTGTATGATGGATGCGGATTTTAGAGAACTATTCAGGCATGGGAACTATTCAGGGATCCTGGTCCTTCCCCAGCTGCAGCCTGAACTGGTGAGATCCAGGAAAGGCTTCAGTCCTACTGATTCTACCAACAGCTCTAAGGTTCCATCTCAGCTTGTAGGCTTGGAAGTTACGTAGTAGAACTGCAAGCGTTATCGTGGTTTCAGCTTGTCCTGTGAAGAACTGATAGTGGTGTGGGTTTTGCAAAAGATCATGATATGAGAAGAGCCGGCTGGGTGGAATGTGGAATCTGCTGAAGTAACAACTGTTCCAGCACATTGTAACGGAACAGAGAAGCTCTCAATGAAAGGGCACAGTTCTGAACACTTTAAATCCAGCCTCAGTATGAATATTGCCAGTGAGTTTATACTGTATATTGTTTTATTGTCTATTTGTATTTCACACATCTAATGAGAACATCAGGGTTCTGGTATGCATAAAATTATCCCAATTATCCTCACACCCACTCAGTGAAGTAGGTTGGGTGGGTGGGTGGAGGCACAGAGACAGCAAGCCCAGCTCTGGAAAGGAAGCCGGGCTTGCTGCCTCTCAAGATGGCGGCAGAGGTGGAGGATGAAGAGGAAGAGGCAGCAGCGCCAGGTAGGGAGTCAACGGGGGCAGTGGGAGGGGGATGGGGGGAAGGCTGCGGAGGTGGGAAGGAACGAACCAGGAAATTCATTAAATCATTTAAAAAGTTTGTCAGTTCAAGTTTGTCAGTTTTGACTAATCCAAACCAATGAACCGTATTAAGCTCTAGGTAGGAGTATTGTTGGATTTGTTGGTTCCTAGAGCTGAATTTTAAGCTGTCCAGCAAAGCTATGTTTTTGTTCTTCTTTGCAGAGCTGATTGGCCGCAAGCACATGTCAGTTTTGCTACAGAATGATATCTTTGTTGACTTCTTCAACACATTCCTGAATCTTCCTGTGAGTGTCCCTCTTATGCCTGGCATCTCTTTCTAACAATTTGCCAAACTCAAGAGCAACAAGAGAAAAAGTTAAGAAAAGGGTTGTTGTAGGTGTGAGTCTCCATGTCTGGAGTTGGTAGTCATGTGACTCTTTAGACACAAAGCAACAACAACAACAACAAAAAGATGCCTTCGGAGTCATCTATTTAGCACAGGATGAACGTTTACGCAGTACAGCCCACTTCCTCAGATAAATGTAGTGTTATCCAGAATTTAATGCCTGTTTACATTAAATTCTGCACTTTGAAAGTGAAAACACAGCAAGCTTAGAGGGAAATTCAGTACAGAAAGCAGTAACAGTGAAAATGGTGCTGGTCTTTCAGAACAACTGTCGCTGGTGACAAGCACCCTGACACTGCTACAGCATAGAATAGATGCAGTCATAATCAAAGCATACTTCTTTATGTTGTTCCAAACAATTGGATGGACATTGTTCCTCCATGAGCGAAAACAATTAAACTTTTTTTTGGTCATGAGACCTGAAAAGTCCCTAAGTTACTGGTTAATCTGTCACAAGCAGGATCCCACCGAATAAGAATAAGAATAATCCTTGCTTGTCTTTCTGGATCTTTCTCACAAGCAGGATCCCACCGAATAAGAATAATCCTTGTTTGTCTTTCTGGATCTTTCTGGCCCATAAGAAAGAAACCTAATTTGGCGGCGGATGAAATTGGCAATTATAGGCCCGTCGCCAATATTTCTTTCATGAGCAAAGTGGTCAAGAGGGTGGTGGCTGACCAGCTTCAGGCACATCTGGATGAAACAGATGTCCTGGATCCTTTTCAGTCGGGCTTCAGGCCATGCCACAGTACAGAGACGGCATTGGTCGCCCTGTACGATGACTTGTTGAGGGAGGCCAACAACGGTAAAATATCTTTGTTGGTCCTCCTCGACATCTCGGTGGCCTTCGATACCGTTGACCATGGTATCCTCCTGGGAAGGCTCTCTGACTACATGTAATAATGTAAAACAAAGGCTTGGCTCTAGCCTGGCTCCGTTCATTCTTGGAGGACCGCCCCCAGAGAGTGCA